CAGTTACTGTTGCCATTAAAAGAAATTAGTACCATTAGTTTTCCGCAACATGGCGAGGGTTTTTATGTTCCTGGTCAGGCTATAAAAGATATAGTAGCATTTGGTGTTATATCAAAAATGTTAAAAGCGGGGCGCATATTGTGCAGATGACCTTAGGCTCGCCGGTCGATATGACGATGAGTGGCAGCGGCGGTTTTTGCGCGCGGGCGCGGAATGCGAGCGGGCGCGGGCGCGGGCAGCCTCAAAGCCTCGCCGCCGTTTTTGCCATGCGGCCCCTTTCGGCCATCTTTTAAGTAATGGTTCGCCTTTTTTCGATCTAATCGCAGTCGCGTAACTATGTCCCGAGAGGACGCGTCTTCGCGTAGAATCGCCGAATCGTCCCACTTTTTGGCGTCTCACTAAGCCAGTCTCGCGCAGGAACCGGTCGGCGTTACGTCATTTCTCCGATCGCTACCCACTCTGCGGCGCGTCAAGCGAGCCGCACATTCCTTTAGTAACTACCACGTAATCGTGAAACGCCTCGTATTATGTAATTACGATTCGATGAATTTGGTTCTCTACACCGAATTATAGAGCAAACTGAGTTCCCCATTATCTTTGCTCAATGGATGAGCAAATGAAGTGGGCGGAGATGTAGTCAGGGAGAGTCGGTTAAGAGATAGACTGGATCGCGGGGCACGGGCGCGGGGGCGGGGTGTGGCCGAGTCGCTAGGCAGTAATTAAACGTGGCTTTAATTAAGGCGGCGGGTTTCCGCTGATTTATCTAGGGCCGGGAACAATCACCGCGCGTTCCGCGAAGACAGCCGCGTCGCCCGCGTTTTTACGCGGTTCCCGGTAGCGCGCACCTGAGCCGCGGCGCTGCGCCGCGGACCGACTGCCACCGCTTATGCGAACTTATGTATATTCATAACATGGCCCTCCTACATAAAACACAACTTCTCACTGACGAACACAAAAAGTTTAAACTTTACGCAACGATCGGAATTTAAAGTTACAAACCATCTAAGTGCAGCAAAAAATGTATGCTCCCTTTTATTGTCTAGTTCGTGGATCTCAGTTTAATCAGTGTTTTTATAATAAATCTATTACTTATTTACTTACATAGGGTGGAAACGATAAGTGATCTCACTCGGTTATTTCTCAACTATACAAGATATCGAAAAACTGGTTACAGGTCCTGAAAGTACTTCACGCACGAGCTCTTTCAATAGGTTACAGAATTAACTGAATCTATCCGAAATTTCTGTTTTCAGCTTCCATACTAAATGTATGCCAGCCACACAATAATAATATTAGAAGTGTTAATTTTTTTTATTAAATAATAAACACTTAAAATGAACTCGTAAATTGCATTCTTATTTATAACTAGCGGCCGCCCGCGACTTCGTACGCGTGGATCCCGTTTTACCCCCTTCATCTATCTTACGCGGTTTAGATTTTTTCATACAAATGTTTTTTCCCGCTTACTCCCCTTCCCGTGGAAATTTTGCAATATCCTGTTATAACTAAGCTTTAAATTTACTAAGATACCTGCATGCCAAATTTAAAGCGTCTAACTTAAGCGGTTCATATTTTTCATACAAAAGGATTTTCCCGCTAATTCCCGTTCCCGTGGAAATTCCTAAGTATCCTATAACCTGCCCAGGAGTACGAAGAATAATTGTACCAAATTTCGTTAAAATCCATCGAGTAGTTTTTGTTTCTACGAGTATAAGGAACATACAGACGGACAGACAGACAGACAAAAATTTTACTGATTGCATCTTTGGCATCAGTATCGATCACTAATCACCCCCTGATAGTTATTTTGAAAATATATTTCATGTACAGAATTGACCTCTCTACAGATTTATTATAAGTATAGATTATTCATGGCAAACATTGGTTTTAGGCTTTACTTGCTATAATATTATCAAGACATGAGTGCCATCATGACTGGCAGTACTAAATGTATGAAAGCTGGAAACATAGAATTTTCGGATAGATCCAGTTTATTTTGTAACTTATTATTGGTATCGTTGGATAGAGCTTGCCAAGCACTTTCAGGATCAGTAACCAGTTTTTGGAAATCTTGTATAGTTTAGAAATAATCGAGTGAGATCACTTATCGTTTCCACCCTGTATACAATAATAATGTTATTGTTTATGGAATAAATGACTATGACTATGACATTACCAATATCAGCCAATAGTCGCTGAGCAGTAAAGAAAAATGTTGCAAAAATGGGAAATATTATTCAAACTATTTTCACGCACAGCTAGATAAGATCTGATATAGCTGATCTGACGAACTTCCCTCGAACTGGCAAAAAGTTGTCACAACTTTTTAACCTTGATCGGTACCTACTTAAGGCGATTAGTGTCCTCAATCCGCGCCAAATGGGCATTTTGTAAAGCCTACTCCTCTTTTACTGCTGGACAGAAATAGTTGAAAAAAATATATGTTATACAACAGTTCAAGGACTACATTTGTGACGTTTGTATTTTCGCTAAGTCTCTTTGTTTTGGATTAAAAAAATNTTTAAAGAGATGAAGCGCACCAAAGTTCAGAAGATGAGGCACATGACGTCAAGCCATGCTTAAAAATGTGGCGATTTGTGTCGTCACGCAGAATTTCATCGCATCATTATCTTCGTAATTAATTGTTTAATTGAAAAATAAAAATATCCTGTGTCCAATATTTTTTGATAATGTAAAATTGTGGAAGTCATTGGTCACAAGCCTATGTTCAGCAGTGGACGTCCTGTGGCTGAAATGATGATGATGATGATGAATGTAAAATTGACGGACCAAAAGTCTTTTTTAAAGAAACTAGCCTATTCCTATGGCCACATTCCAGCTCCATCATCAGACCCTGCAGTTTCCCTTAGAGAATTGAAGACTCATGATTTTCAAAGTAGCGTACCTACTTACATAAAATTAGGTACTTGCTTATACAGGGTGTCCCAAAAACAATGGATAACCCTTCAACCATCGATAGGCCTCGCCATGGTCTCCCTAACGTCCAATTTTGACCCCAGTAAAAATATCACCGTTTTCAAAATTTTTAAGTTTTTGTGCATTTTTAGAAAATTGTAATGAAATTATTTAGGTATAATAATAAATAAATACAAATCAAACGAGCCTAAACTCGATGGAATAATATCGTTTATTCCCGGAGTTGCTATGGGGCCACTGGCATTCCAGCTCTACCATCAGATCAGCTCCATGTCATCACAATATTGCATTGTCACCCGAATTACATGTATATCCGAAATTTGAACTCAATCAATTGATGAAGGATTTCTAATAAAAAGACAAATACATTTTCAGTTTATTCTTCATAAGTGATAGACAAAAGCAGAAACATTTGCTTTTTTAGGCCATAGACAATACTAGGTAGGTACTAATGCGTTCCAATAGGGATGATGACTGGGTAATGAAATCGAAATTCTATTTAGTCCGTCAGACAGATAATTAGAAAATATTAGACTCATATTTTTTATTTTTTTCCATAATCGAATAATTACAGTATTATATTGAGTTGAAATGTCGCGTGACGTCACATTTGAGTAAAAATTCTACTCAAGCGTGGCGTATCGCGCCATTTCAACTCGATGTAGCACTGTTATTATTTAATTATGAAAGAAAATAAAAAATATGAGTCTAATATTTTCTAATTATCTGTCTGGCGGACAAATAATTGAAATTTTGTCATCTAGCCTAGTTGTCGTCAGGAAGTTGGTCTAACTAATTCAGCTTGCAACTAATTCAGCTTGCAAGATTCCACCCGAACAAACATTTATGTAATTACCTACATACATCATAAATTGCAAGCTAAATAAAAGCTTGTAATAAAGTCGGGTTTGTTCAAATTTCGAGAACGACTGAACCGACAAAAGCATTAGAAAATTTACGAAAAATAAAATAAAATTTTATCCCGTACAAAATGTTCATGGATTTTGTTATTTTTATTAAATACCTTTACGCCTGAGTTAAATGACACCGACATCAAGGTTCATCAATTTAAGTTTAAAATAATAGGCAGTAATGTATGAAGAAAGAGCTTCTATTCTGTATCTACCTATGCCCGTGTATTTTTGATCGGTGTCAAATCGGAGTTTTTGGTGCGGGGTACGCGGGTGTTGCTCGCGGCGTGAAGGTCAAACGCCCAAGGTCATTGAGGACTCTAATCGCCTTAATTTATTTTAATTAAAAAATACAACTGCGTTGATAAGATCCTTAGTTTATATTAAGTTCCGCATAGATCCTTAGTTCTTATTAAGTTTATTTCTTTTGACAAAGTATTATAAAATGAGTAACCTCCCGGCGCAGTACGCAAAAGACAAAACCAGTCCAGTTCAAGGGCGCGGCGCGGGTCGCGCGTCTTCATACAAACGTTTGTCGAGTGCGCCCGCTGGCGGGCTGCGACTCAATGAACGCCTTCATTTCATTCGTATATTCTTATTCGTATACTTGTAACATTTTTATGTTAATTTTATTCAATGTTTTCATGTAAGTGCTTGCTTAAACCGGATATCATTATCAACCGGATATCATTTTCATTATTTTGGAGATTGTAGAAACTGATTTACAGGTTTTTTTTTCATCCCTATTATCTTTATTTACAATAAACATATTTTTTTTAAATTAACGCAAACTTATCTCTAAACGAAATAAAATAAAAACTTATTTATTACTCAAAAATAAAAGTGTGTCCGCGAGGCAAAGAGGATTCTGGCTGCATTTCCTTGCTGATTATAAGTAGTGATGAAAAACAGTCAGATTTGAGCACGGGTTTTGGATTAAAGTGATAGACAACAGCATAACAGCGTTGATTAGCGGTGGGTTGCCTCGAATTTTGTCAGTGTGTGCGTGCGCGCCGCATACGTATTGGCGCGCGCTCACATACAAACCGCGCTCGGCGCGTTTCTATGAAGATGACCTACTCATTTGTATTTACTGTGCTATGATGGTGCAGTACCAGTAGTTATGGCAGCCGCATCGTTTCGGATACTCACCCTTAGGTTTGTCGAGAGCCAGCGCCCGGGCGAAGTGGTCGTCGACGACGGCGGCCACGTCGCCGGAGTAGTGCGTGAACACCACGCAGTTGGCGCTGACGTACTGCGCGCGCGCGCGGCCCGCGCCGCCGCACTCGCCCTCCGACTCCGACGAGCCGCCGCCTGCAACCACACGCGTCACTTCACATCCGACCCTTCCGTCCACGCACGTTAGGTGTTACCAGAGTAAATACAAATGAGTAGGTCATCTTCATAGAAACGCGCCGAGCGCGGTTTGTATGTGAGCGCGCGCCAATACGTATGCGGCGCACCAAAATTCAGCGCACCTCACCGCTAATCAACGCTAAACCTACTCACTTTCAAAATGACCTACTCATTTGTATTTACTCTGGTGTTACTGTCGAACGAGCCAGAGGATTCTATCTCCAAACCGTTTTGACCGCTCACCTGGCAGTTCCCGCTGTGGCCTCACCAGCTGCTGAAGTGAGAAACCGCGCTGGCACAAATATTAAATTCGAGATTGTATGAGAATTTATATTAGGAGTTGTGGACTTTTAGCAAAATAATCAAAGCTCACTATGAAATAACAAACAAAGGATTTAAGCAAACCTATTTTTTGAAACATCCTCACCTACAAATTGGTGTATTAGGTAACTTGAAATAAAACTCTAATGAGACTCGTAGACTCTCATTCTATCGCGTTGATGTCTAATTCATGGTCCTCGTTGGCCTGCTACGAGGTTTTTCGATAAGTTGCTACGACGTAGTCGTACATCGTAATCGTAGCGCGTAGATTTTGGCGCTATTGATTGATCGCGGAAGGGACATGTATTTTCCCTAAGTTCTTTTATTTCTATATCGAGTGTTACTATTATTATTAATAATAATAAATATCCTTGGACATTTTACACAGCGCCTATAGTCCCAAACTAAACAAAACTTGTACTATGAGTACTTATTAGACAACGGATATAAATATACTAAAATATTTATTTGTAAATACATACTTATTATTCATAGAAAACACCCAGTCCAATATAATAAAAAAATAATAAATAACTCTCGGCACAATAGTCTTTTTCGAAACACACTATACCAATCGGCCGACCAAACATATTTTGATGCATCAATGGTTACCTAAACAATATTGTTTCATAAATTCTCTAAATTGGTAGAACTGCAAAGGAAATTATGAGTGTACGAGTCGCTGGCATCGTTCGTTCGTTCGTTTTAGCCGAAAGACGTCCACTGCTGGACAAAGACCTCTCCCAAGGATTTCCGCAAAGACCGGTCCTGCGCCGCTCGCATCTAGGCACCTCCCGCGACCTTCACCAGATCGTCGATCCACCTAGTGGGAGCCTGGCCACGCTACGTCTTCCGGCTCGTGGTCGCCACTCAAGAACTATCCTGCACCAGCGGCCGTCAGCCCTTTAAGCTATGTGTCCCGCCCACTGCCACTTGATTTTAGCGATTCTGCGGGCTATGTCAGTCACTCTGGTTCTCCTCATTTCTGATTCGATCGCTGGCATCAGTTTCTGCAAATGAAAAACCGGGAGATTGTGTTGTGTGTGAGCTCACCGTCAGCGCTGGCGCGGCCGTGCAGCGAGAGGTCCTCCTCCTTGGCGCGCAGGCGCGCGTGCGGCGCGTGCGCGGCGTGCGCGTGCGGCGGCGAGCCCGGCGACTGCGCGCCCGACGACGCCGAGCCCGAGCTNCGCCGCCGCCGCCGCCGCCGTACGCCTCGCTGCCGGCGTTGCCCGCGCCGCTTTGCACGTTAAACTACAAAAGGGCACTTATATATTAAACTACACAAACATTTCTATTATAAATAAATAATAAATAAATAATTCTTTATTCAAGTAACCAGGACTCAGTTTGTTAGTAACAATTGCACTTAAAAACTGTGTTAGTTGAAACAAAATGTAAAATAAGAAATTAAATAAACTGAATTTAGATTAAGATGTAGAATTGAAATAAGTATCATAATAAATTATACTCATTTCAATTCCAAACCCACAATTAAGTGTGAGGTTATGCATACATGAGTAATCCCCGCTTCACTCCATAGGCTGTGTCACAGCAATGCCTCACGTACACACAATCAAAAGATGGACTGTACTGCATAACTAATGAGACTAATTTTATTTATTCACACATCAAGCGGATTCAAGCGCCAATGCAGTAGAAGGGGATAGATATGTGCATCTGCAGATTTTGATGAATATGGCAGTAGAACAGGTGAAAATTAATTATATTTAGATGATTCACATAATTTATTTAGTTTTAGTGAATAACATTAATATAAACAATCTTTTATCTTGAATTTCAAATTGGCGTTGATACAGGATGAAATTTTATTTAAAATACTTGCACCGTAACAAAGACGTATTATATTTTGTAACAAGTCAACAGACAGAATTGATATTATTATAACTAATTAAAACCTAGTTTACGTAGTTATGATTCAACGAAATGGTAAATTATTCTCTTCACCAACCTTCCATAAAACCGTCAAAGTAAAAACTTCTAAATAAATGCATCCGGCTCGAAGTACCATGGTTAGGGTCCTAACGAATATTAGTAGAAATAAAATAGTGGACTGTATTATAATATAATTATGCTGTAATTCTCGCCAGCCTAATTTACAATTTACCATCTAAGATACGCGGTGGTGCATACGAGTATATCTTTTTCACAAAGGTATTACCTTTATTTGTCACCCGTCGTCCACTTTGCAATGGAGGGAAGTCGAAGAAGAGAAGAGAAATTCGAACTACTCCTATGTTCTTCTTATTAATTTCGTTGCGGGTCCAACGAGAGTTTAACTTTCCCCCGGGACAAACTTGACCTTCACTGGTTGGGTTTTTATTGGCGGTATAGATCCTGGCTACAGAGGATTTGCAGCGGTGGGAACGAGAGGTGGAAATAGTCCCGTTATCTAAGATACGCGGTAATCGTGAGTCGACAGTGGTGTCCCAATGCGATGTGCGAGTCGAGCGCTGCCGATGATGACGCTGTGGGTCCCGAGGTGACGTTAGTCATCGTACCTACATCGTTGTTGGCGGAATGTTGGCCCGCGCTATGCATATACATATAACCAACGGAAAATCGCTCGCTCTACACTTCGACACTAGAGAGCCCTCCTCCAATGTACTAACATAATTACCTACCTTATTATTTTTTATATTAAGGGCCGTTTGGTGTAGTGGTTCCTAACGCACAATAAACGCACAATACTTTTAATTTCATTACATATTATAAAGCAAAGTCGCTTTCAGTTTTTTTTTAATGGAAATAGTAATTCAAGATGCAGATTTTTAAGTATAATACATTGTACCTGTGCGAAGCAGGGCGGGTCGCTAGTCTATGTATAATAATATACGTACCTAGTTTAAGTATGTTTGTTTATATCCGTTGTCTACCCATACTACAAGCTCTGCTTAGTTTGGGACTGGATGGCGCAGTGTAAATAATATCCAAGAAAAAAAAATCTTACTAGGTCCCGCTAACTAATTATTGCCAAAATCTGGAGAACTAAATAAATGCTGTATTTAGTAAAAATAGATTTTTGTGTTTCACATACATTTTCTCAGTACAAAAAGGATTTGCGACTATTATTTTTTTCCAAAAAGTAGCACAGACAGTAAACATTTTAAAGTTTGAATGCTGGGAGAGATTATCTCATACAGGTACATAACGCACTTGTAGTAATACTCGTAATATATGCGTATATAAAATTACAAGTAAGTAAAAAATACGTAATCACATGGAATGTTACTTGAACATTATTCTTTGTTTGCTAGAGTGATTAATTGGTCTCGAACGAGAAGTGGACAAACAAGGCATACGATTTTATCCTCTTATAGAAGTGGAAAACCATAGCATTGACTCGTTTTTAAATACCTGCAAAGAATCATTCAATAATGATCGATCAGGTAAAGAAACGTGCTAAAACACCCTAAGAGTCGTGAATATGTGCACAATCAAGTACCGGGCATCAAGTAAATTGATGTCTTAGAAATTCATTGTTATACCTAAGTACATATGTATTTTTTGTGAAAAATAGCTAAAAGAAAATTTTGTGTCGGCACAACCAATAAATGAGATTTTCTTTTATAAACAAAGTATGAGATGCCAAGAATTTCAAAACACATTAAAAACGCGGTCACTTGTCTGGCAGCCGGCAGGCAAATTGTTTTGTAGCAGACAAATGTTTTCATTAACGCGCGTCAAGCGTGATTCAGGAGAAGTTTTAGTGCGAATGACAGGCACTTAAATAAATATACTTTAGATGAGTTTAGACTCCGGAGAATGCGCGCACTCTTCCTCTCAGCCGGAATGCGCGTTACACGTCAGAGGAATTCATCTTCGTCATTCGTGTGTCAGGCGAACGCGAGCGAGCATGGAGGCTACACACGCGAACCGAGCGCGGCAAAACGAATGTACCATGATGGAATGCAAAAAATATTTACAAAATGTGCTACTACCGTGGGCCGTTAATCATACTCTATATTGTTGTTTTAATGTTTTTCATCCTTTATGGATTTCGTTTCAGCCAAATGACGTCCACTGTTGGACAAAGGTCCCTCCCTCAAAGATTTCCACTACGACCGGTCCTGCGCTGCCACCTTCCAGGCATTTCCCGCGACTTTCACAAGATCGTCGGTCACTTAGTGGGAGGCCTACACACATTACGTCTCCGGCTCGTTGTCGCTACTCGTGAACTCTTCTACCCCTACTAAACTATCTCTTTATTTACATCAAAATTGGTTTCTCACTGAAAGCGTAAGAAACAGACAGGATTACCTGTCTGTTTCTTAGGCAAGTATGGAATTTATTTTAACAGCTAATCAACCAAAAACCTGTGAAATGTGTGTGTGTGTGTCAGCAATAAATAACATAATACTACACAGATATTGTACAACGGATGGAAGTTAATATAAATAAGAAATTGTAAAGGTCAAAATCAAAAATATTTTATTCAATTTCAACCAGTATTTTGGCACTTATAAGCTTTAAAAATTTCAAAAAAAAAGTTAGCCCTTAAGTGGCACTTGACATGTCTCCTTATCTTTTGGGCTTTACCGGGGCTTCGAGACAAACATATTATTATGGCAAGTGCTGAGAAGGAACGCCGGTCGTTAAACTTATCCCTGCGACAGAGGTAGAGGTGCTCCAGATGAAAACTCGGTTCTATTAATTTATGTAACGTCAGGTGACGTCGATTGGGTTCTCTAAATGTAATTCGTATTACCAATTAGACAAGGTTGACGGGATGATTCAATTTTGTCGACTAACCGAACGACGAACCACTTAAGAATTTATTTTACACGTAAATGACCTAACCTGACTTAAAACAAAAGCTAGACATGAGGTAGGTATACTAACCCGATCATACTGAAAATGCGGCGCGTGGTGGAAGGAGCGCGCGGCACCGCGGCCGTACAGGTAGGGGTAGTAGGCGCCGTACATCACCTCGGGGCAGCTCACCGCCATGCCGCCGGCGGGCCGCGCGCGCGCCCCATGCCGCCGCCCGCGCTGCCCTCGCCCGCGCCCGCGCCCGCGCCCGCCTCACAGCGGAGAGGCGGGAGCACCGATGCGCCTGCTGCAAACAACAACTACGTAAATATTGCACTTAGTTTCCTAGATGTTTGCTTCGCAAGTTACACTACAGAATCAGATAGAATGCGAGAGCTTTGTTTGAAACCTTATTTTTGAAGTAACACGATTTACCGAGCAGTAGCGGCGTAAGGGGGGGGCGGTCCGCCCCAGGTGCCAAGCATCAGGGGATGGACACAAGTCGCGCAGATTAGTACTCACTGGCACATCTGCATGGCAAATCTGCGGTCTATGTCATGATACGGGGGGTGGGGGGGTGCGATTGTCTTTCAATATTCGAATCGGTAGGTAACCCCTAAATCCTGGGGGGTACCAGGGGGGTGCCATAGGACTTGTGACGGGGGGGTGATCGCCCCGTGTGCCAACCCATGCTACGCCGCCACTGTTACCGAGGGGACGGGTACTGCTAAGTGCCAACAAATAGTTCTCCAAAGAAAATAAGTAGGTGCAAGTCAGCCAACAAGTACGTTCGGGGTACGAAGCGTGACGTAACGGACACTCCCACAGCTCAGCTCGTTAATTATATCTTAATTATCGTCGTCGCTGGCTCTGGCCGCGCGGACGGGCGCCACGCCGCAACGCTCGCGCGAACTACACGGGAAGACAAATTGAAAATGCACGTTCAACACAACTACAATAGTAAATCCCAGCCTAAACCATTGATAAGGATGAAATTTTATTTATTTATTTCCAAGCTTAAGCCTATTTTTAGAGAAATCCAATACAGTAGACAAGCGAAATTATCTAGCCTTATGGGCCATTCTTAAAGTGCTATTTTTTTTTCAACATTTTGCGATGTGTATCGAAAGTATAAACCAAAACCATACTTTTCTTGTATATGGACAACCTTTAAGCCCTCGGAAAAGAAATAAAATAGGCTACGTAAACACGGCTGTGACACTGCATGACACGGATGTGACAGTTTTACATTTTTACTGTAAATATTTATATTAATGTTGTTAAATTTATATCATCATAGTTTAAATTGATTAACAATAAAACACACTAAATTAGTTTCATCAACAAAGGTGTTATTTGGTAATATGTTACTTTTTTCTAAACATCTAAAAATTAAATACCAATTGAGATCGAAAGTACCGTCAGGTAGTTTATTTCTACTAGATAATAAAAAAAATCCACTCTATTATTGGCACTATCTGATCATGCTCCCGATATGCTACCAACATGGTTTCGATATAGGTATTATGCTTAATAAATTAGTAAATCTTAAACATAGTACCTAATTGATTTTTATTTACAAATGGGATTTCTGTAGGATTCACATAACAGTTGGTTTTGACAACTTAAACATGTTTCATAGTCACTTCACCACTAAAAACATGGTTAATAGCAATTCCTTTTAAAACATCACCGATCACCTCTGCATGGCTTTTACCGTGAGCTCTCTCAGTAAAGATATTACTTACTGCAGAAATGAGAAAGTGCAATCAATTTTCTTTCGTGGCATCTAGAAAATCATACTAGCGAAAAATCAGTATACTTACTAAAAGGATACTCCTTAACACTTCCTGGACAGTGAACTGCTATATACGTACGTCTTAACAATTATTGTGTCTGGGTTACTGTCCGGGAAAGTGTGAAAATTGAATAATACACTAACCTTGCAGGGAAAATAGAATGTCACAACCACGTGTTGTAATATAAATAAATAAATAAATATCACGACCGTATATTTAAATACATAGTTACCTATTTAATTTTTAGCGTTAAGAGTCGCATCTTAAACTAATTTGATTAACTAATTTTAATTAAACTATTTTTAATTCGTTGGTTCTTAAATAGTCTGCGGTGATGACACTTTTTAATACGAAAAATAAAACGTGTCCGATATATCCAAAAAATAAAACTATCTGTGAATTAGCAAATCTTGTGCAAATATCTGAAACTATGCTGCATGAGGTACATAGTTACGTTTTAAACAATAACGTGACATTGATACCTACCTACCTTTAAAAACCGTGCACTTAATTGACGTTTTAAGGTTGTCCCTTTTTCAAATAAATAGGAAATAAATTTTTGCGGCTCACTCACTACGTTCAGCCATTTGCAAATCTAATAAGATGACAATGTTACTGTTCTAAAAAAAACTTCGCAAAAAATCAAATCAATCAAATATCCGGCCGGTTCCATAGCGCGGCTAGTCATGTAGTCGGAGTAGGTTATGCGATTCTTGCAGGCGGTGCATTTTCGCGTGTAATAGCGCTATGGAACCGCTGGGAAGGGGTATCTTTGTTCAACAATTACGTCGAAACTAATAGATGTAGACTAATACATTTACATTCGTTTTGTAGAATAACTCAAATACTAATAATAAAATGCAAATGAAACATACTTTAACGACCTGGTTTTACTTGTGTTGGACATAACTAAAAAAGAAGTGAAAAAAGTCATGTTTTTTTCTAATTAAATCCATTCTTACCCCCTAAAATGTATGAATCTTGTGTCTGTTTTCTACTTCTACTAATATATAATTTTATTGGCTATCGCATGATATAAAATATTTGCTTATAGGTAAGTGTTAAGTTCCTCACGCTTTTACTTGTTTTTGAAGGAAGAGGTGAACACTAAAAATTAAAAATTTAAATCCTTGTAATTTTGCGAGAGAAATGGGTTAAGCCCCAAAGGGCGTAGCAGGATAGTCTTGGAAAAAGTGCCCCCAAAGCCTGAAGCTCGAAACTGTGGTCAAACGATACTTTGTATAAAGACAGTATATTGTGCAAAATTTCACCCCCCCAACACCCCCCAGGGAGCCATGCCACCCATCTATACCTAAAACTGTGAAACCTAAGACAACAGGACTGGATTTTTAATCAATGATTTGATTTGATTTAATGAATTATGCAGTTTTAGCATCCTACCTACTAATATTACTCGTATAAATGCGGAAGTTTGTGAGTATGAATGTTTGATACTCTTTCACGTAAATACTACTAAACGGATTTTTACTACATAAGTGTAGTAAAAATAAGTGTACTATAAATAGTACTAGATATTGTTTATACATGAGAATAGCAATACTAAGCTTTTTCCCACGGCTTTGTCTGCGTAAAATTTTGTCTGTCATAGAAAAAAATATAGTTTCAAAGACCGGGATAAAAACTGTCCAATGTCCTTTCCCAGGACTTAAAACTATCTCTTTACCAAATATAAAAATCGGTTCAATGGTTTAGGGTGAATTCGTAACAGACAGACAGGTAAAGTTACTTTCGCATTTATACTCGTAATATTTAAGTAGTAGGGATATAATTCATAACAATCTGTTATAAGAAAGTAAAGCAGATTTTGGAACAGTCATAAATAGTACCTGATACCAACAACTTGTATTTTTTCGCTTAATTATTATTTGCCATACGTTTAGGTATTCAGTTTGGTAATAATATGGCATTCACTCAGGTACTCCAGTACTTCTTAAATGTTATAAAAATAAAATGTTTGCCAAATTGCTCAAATCATTGATTAAAAATCCAGTCCTGTTGTCTTCCCTAGCCAGGGGGGGTGTACAAAGTACAATAAGTCACGAGTAATTATGTAGGTCATGCAAACGCTGCAATATTTAATTTTATTAACTTGAAGCATTCGCCGATCAGTTCTACACAAGTTCTCAACCTATTAATTAGTGTGCACACAATTGTCAAGATTTATATTGTAATTATCTTAAATAAATAATCAAGAGTTTCAAGAGTTTCCTTCTATCAAGACAACTACAACACATATCTTGTACCATCGCGTACAGGGGGGGACAACAGGACTGCACCCGAATTACACAAAATAACGCATATTAATAAAAACACCACTAAATAAAACTTTTAAGTTAAGAAAAATAAACAAGATTCTTGTTCAAATATGACCTAAGAGTTTTATTTAAAATTAATTAAACTATGTTGCACCTTAGCTAGATAGACAAAACTTTGGGATTACGTAGGTTGAAAGTTGGCACTCATTTGAAAAAAAAACTGTGATTGTACTACCAAAGGAAATCATTATACAGGATGTTACAATTTTTATTTTTATTTCTTCCATCATGGAAGGTAGTAATAGAGCTGTTGTTTTTTTATATTATTACTATGAGACACAACTACACCTGTGCAAAAATTTAAATTCGTCAGTTACATAGTTTTGGAGAAAAAAAATAAAACAGTTTTAGGTATAGATGGGTGGCATGATTCCCTGGGGGGTGTTGGGGTGGTGAAATTTTGCACAATATACTATCTTTATATAAAGTATCGTTTGGCCACAGTTTCGAACTTCAGGCTCTGGGGGCACTTTTTCCAAGACTATCCTGCTACGCCCTTTGAAGTACCCATTTTCATCGATAAAATTGTCCATACTTAGATTACGCCCTTAAAGTTTGATCACTACATGCCCGAACACACTGTAGGTATAACATAATTATTAGTCTTTCATAATTACTGTAATATTTATCAAAATAACATGACATCTCTTCAGAAAAAATATTTTATGTTCAAATCCGGGAATCCCACACTACACAGTCCGTGACAATTTGGACTTTTTAAATATTCTTCTAATAGTTTTATGATAAAAATTATATTCGGCCATGTTAATAGAGGTATTTTACTGAATAAATTAATATAAAATGCACTGATTTTTCTAAAAATTCTATTCGTTCATCTCACACAAAAATGCGTAAGAATAAGAATGGCCCTATTAACATCTCCTTGAACATTTTATCTTTCATCACTTTGAATATACAGGGTGGAAACGATGAACGTGAAGCCTTATGTCTTCATAAATACCATTTTACCCTGATTCTGCTGAAGCCTACCTCCAGGGTTAACAGTGTTTGCTAACGATTTTTTGATTCGCGCCTTAACAGCTTTTAACGTTGCTGGACTCCTAACCGTGCGAGGGAAACTACCTACTTTTATTATTTGT